TAAGCCTAGGATTAGTCCTGCTTTAAAGTCATCATGAAACCTTGTTATAGGCCTCAAGTTAAGTTGTTTAATGTATTTCTAAGAGCTTACTGGGGCGGCGGGGGGTGGGGGGAGTCACACATTAACTTTGGTAAGCTTCTAATAGCAAAAACACAGTGGTTGTTGTTATGAACTTACCTGCAGGCTTATACTTGCATGTTTTTTGCGATGGTAGGCTTATTTTCTAGGGAAAAACTATATTGTGTTTACCAAAATTGTTTTAGGAAAAAAAATCCTTAAAATTTTAGAGACCTCAGTCAATCTTATTAAGGAAAACTTTTAAGAAGTCAGTTGATAATAATTTGTATGATTCTATAATTACAAAATATGTTAATATTTTGCTTAATACCATAATTTGCAACTTATTGTATTTTTAATATGTTTCAAAGTAGGGAATCTGAATGCTATCATACTTGTGTTATTACGGCTAAATTATTTGCTTTCTTTCTTTCTTTTTTTTGTCTTGTATAGCTATTTTATTGACCTAGAGGACATAAAATATAGAGCAGAAAATCTGATTAAGTATTGTTAAAATGTTATTGCTTTTGCCTGAAGTATATTGCAAAATATCTGGAAGAGGTAGAGTATAAAGTTGCTGTTATTTACTGAACAGAATTTGGATTGGAATGTATTCCTAAAAATAAATTCAAAGTATACCATTGTAGAAATAATTTTATAAAGAAATTCAAGAGATGGCCTCTATTGTTCTGCTATTTAAATTTGCCTATTATTATTAGTGTGTTCTTTTAAAGAGCTGGCAAAAGCACTTTATGCATCACAGGTTATGATTTTCTGGATTTATCAAAAAAGTATAATTTACCTACAGCATTAGCAGCCCAAAGTGTATAGATATGTCCAAGTTTAGAGAATAGTTTCTTTTTCTTCGAGGCCTGTAAAGGAAAGATGGTACAGAACATTTTGTCTTCTCTTGTGATACTGAGAATAATTTTGTAAAAGATTCTTTTAAACACACTGCTAAGGCTACTAATATACTTTACGTAGATAATATGATACTTTTCTCATTAACTTAGTAAAATTTTATTTTATTTCAAAGTTTGTTGTAATTCGCCAGTCATATGGGCATTTTAAATACTCCTAACTTTTCCAAATATATTATGAAATACCATGATTAGGCATAGTGTGTCCTATAATTGACCTGATTATTTCTGGAGATGGAAGGATGGATTGCTGGACAGACAGATAAATATTTGAATGGAGAGAATGACAACTCTGAAGGTACATGGATACAGATACATTTTAGATAGATAGATAGATAGATAGATAGATAGATAGATAGATAGATAGATAGATAGATATCCGTATGAAGTAGATTTGATGACATTCAAAAGATTTCACAGCAGTATGGTAATTATAGTAATGAGGACTTTGTAGAAATCAAAATATAAGAGCAGCTCCTCATCTCCTAAGCCATACACAATATCTTCACCATCTATGATGGCCTTCCATCTTAACTTCTGCATAAGAAGTCACTTCTTTTCTCTCTTGCTATTGTCTCTAACATATTTATAAGATATTTCTTTGTTGCTTTGTATGTCCTTCCCCCATGTTATAACCAGTTTTCAAGTATTTGATGTTGGTATAATTTGTGGAGGGGAAGGTGGACCCATTTCAACAATGAGATGTACAAGACCTTATGTCGAAAAACGAACTTTACAACTGTGGCGTGGGGGGGGTGGGGAGAAAGGGGAGGGGATGGGGTTTGGGGGAGATGGGAAGGGGAAATAAAGGAGGAGGCAACAATGCTTGATAAGAAATGTACTCGTTACCTTGCCCATGTAATTGTAACCCTCTGCATGGTATTTTCACAATAAAAAAATAATTAAAAAAAAGAAGTCAGGTCATTATCTCCCTTCTGATAAAAAAGGCTGACTCTGAAAAGGTAGTTTCCCGATGTTGCACGATTACCAGTAAGTACTGGGGCTGACGGTGGTCATTTTGTTAATTCTTGATATCTCCCATAATTCAGAAAGCTAGAGTGATTGATACTCTTTAAATTCATATAAGACCTAGTAGACACTAATTTTATCATTTTATTTCTTTCAAAATTTACTTTTGTATTTTATTATGAACTAACAATTTCAATTTCATTTCTCTTCTAGGAATAGAATACCGGGGTGAAAATTTTACTCAAGATTAAAATTGTGATAATTTCTAAAAAATTTTGATAGGAAAGACAAAAATAATCAATATAAAATTAATACTTTTTTTTTGTTTTGACTCACGTTGCTAATACCGATTAAATTGAAAGCCCACTTACTTCCAAGGTAATGTTATATATTACAAGACTATTTCAAATGCTACCATATTAAAGATGACAATGAGTTAAAGTGAAGAAAAAGTTGGTGTTACTATTTTCTCCCCCTTTATAAGAAAATGCCCTTGAGTCCTTTTCAGCAAATAACATTCCACAAACAAGAATTATTTTGGAAACCCAATGCTTCTCATTATACTACACCTGGGTGAAAATTCTGCTATTAAAAGATAGTTTACCAAGGCAAAGTTAATTATGTAGAAATTTTTTCAAAGCTACACTGCTTTATTTCTCCTGGAAGCAGTCACCCAAAAAGAACATCCACTTGGTGAGCTTTACCTTCTCTGAGTTTTACCTTCTTTTTAATGGTTTTAAAACCATGGCTACAATTATAAACAGATTTGATGCCTGCTTTTAGCTGAAGAAATGATGAGTGCTTTGAAACATGTGCTCTTGATTATAAGCAAATAAAATTAAGCATTCATTTAAATGGATATATTTGCATCTTTGACAGAACTGCGTTTCTCTGGACTTTTACTTGCAAGGCAGGTGCATCACTACTTGAGCCACATGCCAGTCCTAAATAGATTACTTAAAACTCTAAGAAGTTCACTTTAAATACCATCTCATTCTCAGTGAGTAAAACATATATGTCTACTTAGCAACACACATCAAAAGTGTCTTTGAAATTGAACCAAAATGACCAATTTGTTTGTTTATATTCCAAAAGAATAAGATAGAAAGACCTCAGATGGGTCATATAAATTCCATAATCTGTTCATGTGAGGTAATGAACACAAACTTTTATAGCTTGCTCATTCCTGCAAAATTCTGGTGTACTATGAAAAAATTGATGTTCCCTATGACCATAGTTTTCAGAGATTTTTTTCTTTGTTTTCCCGTAGTCATTTCAAAGTTTCAGATATTTCATTAAGACAATTCTCAGGAGATGAACAGATGGCTAATAAACATATGAAGAAATGTTCAAGCCTTTACTCACTAAGGAAATACAAATCAAAACTACACTAAAATTCCATCTTATCCCAGTCAGAATGGCAATCCTTAAAGAAACAAACCACAAATTCTAATGAAATTGTGTTTGGTGGGAGAAACCCTTATCATGCTTGGTGTGACTCAACTAGTACAACCCCTGTGGAAATCCATATAAAACTACTAGACTTATGCTATGACCCGGCCATAGCACGTTTGGGTATATATCTAAAGGAAAATAAATCAATACACTACAGACATACTTTTGTCATGATAACCAAGCCTTGAATTAGCCAACAAACCCAACAACCAATGAGTAGATAAGGAAAATATGGTATATATACACCATAGAGTATTATTCAGTGATAAAGAAAACAAAATTAAGTCATCTGAAGGAAAACAGGTAGAATTGAGGCCTAAAGGAATGATAGCAATAATAATAATAGCACATAATTATAAAATATGGCAGGCTTGGTGGCGATGGAAGGACAAAGGGTAAAAGAATTAATATGGAAGATAAAGAGAATCACAGTATATTACATATGCATTGTATTTATGTGTGTGAACATATACAAAAAGACTGCATAATGAAACCAAATGGCCACTGTTGAAAATTACAGGAGGCAGAAGGAGGTATGAGAATAGAATGGAGGAGTGAACTTGTTGAAGGTGCATCATACACATTTGTGGAATTGTACCAATGAAGCCTGTTGATATTATTAATGTATGTTAATTCAGATATAAAATATCAAAGAGATATCTTGCTGCACATGAAATTTCCAGAACTTTAATTAACCCATATGATGTCAAGATGTACTCTCTTTCGAGACATAAGAATAATATTCAAGCAAATTACATTACTGCTACTCTTCCCAACAGATGTAGCTTTAAGAAAGAACTATGAGAATTATAGTCACAATGAAACAATATCATTTAGATGGCTTCTATCTCACTGTTATTCACAACAAAAAGGAGAGTTGTGTATAGGTTGTCCTATTTCTGCAATATTGATTTTTTGTTTTGATAAAATATGACTTATAAAGAAGGCCAATTCTCAGGGGCCATTCTATAAATTTTCCTTGATTTATAAATCAAATGTACTTTATTACAAATTATATACCAAATTATCTAATACACATCTATACCAGACTTTTTATAGCCTATCATTATATAGCATATTATAGCATATCAAATAGATATTATAGCATATCATTTGATATTATAAACTAACAAGATTGTTAACTAAAACATATGTATTGCACTCTTCACAAAACTGAATTGCAAAGTAAGACAAGTACAGCCTGGAGAACAAATCATACTGATAAAAAACAAAAGTGCAGATATTCTTTTCATAATGAGAATAGATTTTAAAGTTCCACATAAAATATTAAACCACTCACATATACCTAATATATTTTGTAGTGCTTGTCTTGAAGTTGAATGTAAGTTGAGGCATTTTGCCAACACTGGTGTAATTCACAACAGATAGGTAATGTGAATTTTTGACAGTTTCCCAAATAATGTCAGTAGCATCTCATTAGTTTCTCTTACAATTGACCAACATTTCCATCACAACATAGATAAAACTTGATAATCAGCTGTCAGGTAAAATCAAAGAGAAACTCTCAGCTTTTTTCCCCTAAGTCCTTAATTATTATGCAGGCGATAACAGCAAGACAAAATGTTAATGGCATCTTACCTCTATCACTGAAGTCATCTACTAGAATGATTTCTGCTATCAGACTCTCTGGGGTTCGGTTAATTATACTGTGTATAGTCCTCAGGAGGGAAGTCCAGCCTTCATTATGAAATGGGATAATGATGCTGGTGTTTGGCAGCCTTTCCAGGTACATCTTGTGCTTACAGCTGGAGAAAGGGTAGAAGAAAAAAGGCCATGTTCAATGTAAAACTGTAATATGCCTCACACCTCTGTTCATTAGGTTATCAGACAGCAGTGAGAATGTAACTTTGGTCAATAGTTTTCTAACTATAACTTGGGCATTCTCCTAGTTGCTCTCCTCATTCATGGATTCTTTAATCACATACTTTTACATCCACGGTTAATGAAACAACCACTTTAATTCTTTCTGCATCTAGGGATGTCAAATCCATCAGGATGTTGAAATGTGCTCTTGTTCATGCACATTTTCTCTATGGTTATCCAATAGAAAATAGGATAAATGATATGATTAAGGATAAATAATATGATTAACATTTATATGGATTTCCTGAAGAGTTTTGAAAATTTAGCTTCTATAATAATTATGCTTAATTAGTCAGCTTTTCATTTTGGAGTATTTCATTAGTTGGACAGTATTTATGGCTCTGTAGGGGAAAAATACCCAGTGCCTTTGAATGAAAAATTTAATCCTAAATGAACATTTACTCTATATAACCACATAGTAAGATTACTCTAAGACTCAAATTAAGACATTTTTACATCATTGTAAAACAAATTGTTTAAACAGGGTTAAAGGTTGACCCATTACAACAATGAGATGTACAACACTCTATGTCGAAAAACAAACTTTACAATTTAGGTGGGGTTGGGAGGGGGATGGGAGGAAGTGTAGCTGTGGAGAAAGGAGGGAAGGGATGTTAGGGGGAAAACAAAGGAGGAAACAACAATGCTTGACTTTTTTTCATTGGGAAGAAATCTGAAAAAAAAATTATTCTATCCCTGTGTCAATTATTTAGTCTAAAGTTCTATTATATTCAACAATATTTACCCAACAAGTAGATTTTGATGTTTTCAAAGGCAATGAAAAGATTTAAGAAAACTGTCACAATGAAACCATTATGTAGGCATTAAATTGCTGTAGAAATGTGAAAAGCATTTGGGGAATACCTAAGTGGTACAAGAACATAGGAGATAGATCTGTCAGTAATTTCCAAAGGAATGTTCTGAGACAGATGCTATCACATAAAATGCACAGATCTAGCAAAGAGCAGTAATGTAATTCAGCACACCTGGTTATAATTATGTACATTCTCAATTCTTATGAACAAAGCCAAAGGCCCAAGCTAATTGGGTCTTACATTGATCAATATTTAGGATAATTATACTTACCACACTAGCTATCATAACTTACAATGTTTTGGAAATGCAGTTAATAATTTAAAGAAAACATTTTTAAGCATAAAGGCAAGATTGTGTACATATGAAATGCACATCAATAAATAAGAACTATATTGAAGAGTAATATTATATAAATTACCAACCATCTCATGATTTTCAAAATAAGTTTATACCCAAGTAAATTTCCAATCATTAAGAAAAAGAGACACAAAAGGATTAACTGTACGTGGAAAAACTTTCTTTCTTAACAATGTTTTCATTAATTTATATTTATGTGAGTAAATACTTGTTGTTATACAAATACACACACACACACACACACACACACACACACACAATGTGAAAGAATCCTTTCTACCCATTCCTCCATTAATTAAAATATGCTGAAAATCCAAAGGGGAAAACCATGAGCTAAGTCTAGTTCATAACGTTAAAATATTTTCAATGAAAGAAAGTAGAAAATAACTGACAGCCCCTCTGTACGGTATTTCCACAATAAAACAACAGCAAAAAAGAAAATAACTGACAGGTTAAATTTTAAAATGAAGTGTACATAAGACTATTTTCCTTACATTGAGTAAGATGAGTGGAAAAAAACCTTCATAATCACTCAGTATAATATTAGACCTGATTGGGGGCTGGGAAGGTGGCTCAGTGGTAGAGCACTTGCTTTGCATGCCCGATGCCCTGGGTTCGATTCCTCAGCACCACATAAGCAAAAAGAAAAAAGTTGGAAGTGGCGCTGTGGCTCAAGTGGTAGAGTACTAGCCTTGAGCTGAAGAGCTGAGGGACAGCGCCCAGGCCCAGAGTTCAGGCCCCATGACCGGAACCAAAAAAAAAAAAAAATTAGATCTGATTATAGCAAGTGTTTGATAAAAACTGGCTTCCATGATTACTGCTATTGTTGTTTTAATTGCTTATCTTTTACCTGTCAAAAACCTCTTCCACTCTGGAAGTAGGTAAAGGAACAGGGGAGACAGGAACAGCGTAAGGGCAAATGAGAGACACTTAGGGTACAAAGATAAACACATTATAGTCTCTTCCCTTAAGGGTTTACAAACCAATGGACAGATACACAAAATGATTAGACTCAAATGAGACAAGTGACATAATAGATGGTGTCCAGGCAATGAGAGCCTGAAGGAATTATGACTAAGTTTGTCTGAAAGAATTAGGGAAGGCTTTATAGATGAGTCCTGTGTTGAACACAGATCATACAGGGTCTTGCAAGTGATTCTAAGGAACAGTGAATAGTTTCAAATATTATTAATCTTGATGGAGACAGGATCATGTGTACATATTCCTCCAGCAGCAGGGCAGACAAAGAGACTTGGAGAAAAAAAAGATAGAGATTGTAATAGTTCTTCCAAAAAACAAAAATGAATAAAAGCATGGATCTGACTTTTTACTCTTAAGGAAAACCAGCCTCTTTGAAATGTTATTTAATCTGATTGTAATGTTATTACATTACGTTTATGGGTGTATGGTAAAAATTGCTGTAATTATACTTCTTTTCACTGTATTCTTCAAATAAGTACTTCCCTAAAAGCAATGTGAACCGCCTCGTGGTGGGAGTGTGTGGATTAATATACTGCTCAAGTCGTGGTGGGCAAGCAACCAAAAGAGAGAAAGGGAAGGGGCAGCAGTTTCATTATTCCCAATGGGAGCATGTCCCCAGTGACCCAAATTCCTTCTAGCTGGTTCTATTGTTGTAAGGTGAATCATCCCAGGAGCCGCATTTCAAAATATAGAATACTGTTGTCTTCATTATACAGTTAACAGGCTACAGGCTGCCCGTAGTTACAAAGGCCTGCAGCTCTCAAAGACACATAACACAACTAGGAAACATGCTCAAGAGGAAAGAAATGACAAAAAAGAATACCAACAAGCCCATTCAGCTCCAGTGGAGACCTGAATTGCGATGCCACGATGACTGGAGACGAGACAGGAGACAGGACACAGGACACGATCACGGAGACACAGAGACACACATGGCATGGTGTCCTATCCAGGCCTAAATAGGTCAGGGAGCAGATCCTCAGGAAATTCCCAGTCCCAGGCACTGGACTGACAGATTCAGTAACCTATCAGCCAAGTGCCTGCCCCTGCCTCCAGGGGTCCAGACACACCCATCACCTGGGAAGCAAGTGATGCGCAGGGGCATTTCCTTCCCCCAGCATGAAGACAGGAAGCCAGACCCTACCAGCCACCGTGTGGCCAATATGGCGCCAGCCAGACCTGACCTCCTTACTTCACTATCTCTTAAAAGTTCCACCCCGTTACAGTAGCACTGCACACCTTTGGAGAACGTTTAAGAGCAAACCATAACCGTCAGAAAACCATTTCTGTCATGTGTACAAAGGAACTAGACACGTTCGGAATGTTGAGAAAACTTCCTTATTTTCCTTTATCCTTTTGTCATTGCAATATTTCTTGAAAACCATTTTGGTTCAGCTACTGTTCTCTGTGGTCTGTTCTCAATAGCCGCAGAATAAAATGTCAGCCTGACATCTGGCTACTGACAAGTATATTATAGAGCATATCTGTGTAAGTCATTTCCAAGCACCAATTTACATAGTAATTGTTTTAATGTCAGCATATTCAATTTTCAATGGCTGGTTTTAGTCACCCAGTTTTTTTTTTCTGTTCTAATCTTGACATGTCAGCTGGGTTTGATAAAGCAGTGATAACTGGCAATTTATTTTGCCTCTGACAGGTCTGTAAAAGTAGTCTGGGTTGCCAAAGTATATGGCAATATATTTGAATGGAGGAGATCATCACTATAAACTTTCATTTGTTTATTTGGTTACCTATTTTGTAAGACTATTTTACACATATTAACATTTTACAGGAATAGTATGATTCATAATTTAATGTCATTGATTTTATATATTTACTAAGTATCAAAGGAATTTTGATATCATGATGTGGCACTGTGGCACTGTGTATCATAAAAGATAGCAGAAAGAATATGTTCACTGTGTAGGAGATCAGAGACAGCAGGGACCACAATATGGAGGTGATGCTGGTATTTCATAAGATGGTACGTTCCTTTATAAAAGGGAGAGTGTTTGTTAATACTTCAAAAAATGTTGTAGTCTTCTACCTTAGTCCTCAAGACTCGCAATTGTTCACTGCACTGAATCCATTGCAGTATAGGAAGACTGAATGTGTGAGGTCCACTTGTGAGGACAGTCTAGGATACCCATTAGGAGATAATAGTGGATTTAGCTGAGATTAGAAATGCTGGCATTCAAGACCTATGTTGGGAGTGAATGCACACAGAGAAAATTGATAAACCTTGCTGGATTACATCAACAAAGAAAGCATAAACACAAACAAGAAGGAGTAGCAGGTCCTGAACTGAGCATCAGATAGAAAGGAGCCACATTGCAAAGTGAACTGCAAAGACATGGTGAGAGAAAGCAAGATTTTATTCCTTGAAACAGACAAGAGTACTTTAAAAATGAGAGTAGGGCCAAAGTGTCCAGTGACACTGTGAAATTTCACAAGATAGATTGTACAATTATTGGACTTCAGCAAGTTGGAAATCATTAGTTACTTTGGCAAGAAAAAATTGATGGCACTATAGTGTCTTGAAGAGTGAGTGGGTTTCAGATGATCAATATATAACTAGACTTTGGGGCTGTTAGCTGGAGGGGAAGAGGGAATAACAGCAAAGTCTACCACTATGGAATATAGGTGAACTTTTTCATAGGTGAAATTTGAACCATAATAACAAAATATAATTAAATATTTTAAATATGTGATTAACAGCTAAATTCTC